CAATTTGAACAGCTCTAACTCAACAAAGGATTCCCTGCCCAACATACAGGCACACCTGAGAAACCCACATACCGAGGCACCTAAATGTGGGCAAGCGGAGCAAAGGCGAGGCGCAAAGGGAGGAGGGCTCAGCCAGCCAGGGACACTTGCCTGCGGCAGGAGTTCACGGGGGCGGGGCAGAGGTCCAGCGGGCAGCCCTGCAGGGCTGGGCAGCGGGAGCTGCAGCAGAGCCCAGAGGCCGGGGCAAGGGCACGGCACAGGAGTATTGCCACAGCGTCAGGTGCTGGGCATTTCAGACAAGGAAAGGAAGCCAAAGGAGCCCTGCCCCCACCCATAAACTCCTCAAACCTGCCTCTTTTTCACCCTTTGTGTCAGGATGTAGAACACATCATCTGCAATCCCAAGAACTGGTACCACAGAACTTCTATTTCCCCTGAGCAAAGGGTGTTCTCTGTGACTGATTCTCAGGCAGGGCACACGGCAGGGGGTGGGGGGGAACCCAGGGCGATGTGAGGTTGCCAGCACTGGAAGGGTAAAACAAAGAAAGTGGCCAGGTTACCCCAGACAACCCCACCCCCAAGCACATCGGCTACAGCGATGGCAGCTGTGGGGAGGGCACGGGGGTTTCACAGAGCTAAAACAACTAGTGACTCAGCACCGCCTACTGGGAAATAATAGAAGGACCTCTTCCTAGCCACCTGGTAGAGAACAGCCACTCATACATAGATGCCCAGACAAAGAAGGAGCTCATCAACTACCATGAATAACCTAGGTACCAAGGCAGCTCAGAAAGAAAATGAAAAATCTTCAGGAAGCAAACTTGAGCACGTCGGAATATATGATACAAATGACAGAGAATTCAAGATTGCAGTTCTGAAAATACTCAACAAGATGTGAGAAAATACCGACAGGCCATTTAATGAATTTAGAAAACAAATTCATAAACAAAGCCAGTATTTCACCAAAGAGATTCAAACTTTAAAAAAGAATTAAACAGAAATTTTAGAAATGAAGAATTCAATAAAAGAGTCCAAGAATAACCTAGCAAGCATAGGCAATAGAGCTGACTAGGATAGAAGAAAGAATTAGTGATGTCTAATACAAAAATCTAGAAATAACACAGAGGGAATAAGATACTTCAGCATAAAAAAAAAAAATGAAAGAGCTCTACAAGAGCTGTCTAACTCCATCAGAAAAAGCAATATAAGAACAACATGCATGCCAGATGAAGAAGAGAGGGGAACGGGAACGGAGAGCCTGTTCAAACAGTTAATGAAAACTTCTTAAACCTACGCAGAGCGCCCTCAAATCCAAGAAGCAAACAGAATGCCTAGTTACCTCAATTCCAATAGGCCTTCTACAAGGCACATTGTATTAGAACTGTCAAAAATTAGTTACAAAGAAATAATTCTCAAGGCAGTCAGGGACAAGAAGAAAGTAACCGATAAATGAAAGCCAATTTTAGGTTATCTTTGCACCTCTCAGCAGATACTCAAGAAGCCAGAAGAGAGTAGAATCAAATACTGAAACTACAGAAAGGGTGAAATTGCCAGCCAAGAATAATATATTCAGCAAAATTATCCTTTAAATATGAAAGATAAATAAAGACTCTTCCAGACACACAAAAGCTGAGGGAATTTATCACCAGAAGACCTCCGTGAAAGGAAATAATCGGGGGGTTATTCTACCTGAAAAGAAGAATGAAAGGTCACAACACTACAAGTAACAAGATCACCAACAAACTGACAACATAAACAGGGATAATTTTGACAACAAAAACATACAAGGTGTGGGGTTAGTTCTGAATTTGCAAATGAGACTAGGCTTCCAAACTGAAAAGGAAGATGGAAAAGTGTCCCTTTTTTACAGATGACATGCTTCTGTATATAGAAAACCCTAAAGACTCCACCAAAAAACTATTGGAAACAATAAATACAGTGAAGTTGCAGGATACAAAATCAATGTACAATTTTCCATGGCATTCCTATATACTGACAATAAAACCTCAGAAAAATAAATTTTTTTAAAAAAGCAACTCCTTTTGCAATTTCAACCCAAAAAACAAAATACCTAGGAATAAGTTTAACAAAGGACATGAAAGACCTATATACTGAAAACCACAAATCATTATTAAAAGAGGTTGAAAAGGACACAATGAAAAGATATTCTGTGCTCATGGAGCAGAATCAACCTGGTTAAAATGGACATATTACCCAAAGTAATATAGAGATTTAGTGCAATCACCACCAAAATTCCAATGTTATTTTTTAAAAGATTTTATTTATTTTTAGAGAGAGGGGAAGGGAGGTAGAAAGAAGAGGGAAAAAACATCGATGTGCAAGAGAGAAACATTAATTGGTTGCCTCTCGCACACCCCCACCAAGGGACCTGGTCTGCTACCTGGGCATGTGTCCTGACAGGAAATCACACCGGCAACCTTTTGGTTTGCAGGGCAACACCCAACCCTCTGAGCCACACCAGTTAGGGCCCAATGTCAGTTTTTAAAGAAGTAGAACAAAAAAATCATCAGATTTTTATGGACCACAAAAGATCCCAAATTGCTAAAGCAATCCTAAGGAAAAAAAGAACGAAGCTGGCAGTATCACACTCCCTGACTTCAAATTATACTACAGAGCTACAATAATCAAAGCAGCATGGTATTGGCAGGAAAACACACACACACAGACTGATGGAACAGAACTGAGAGCCCAGAAACAAAACCACATGTCTATGGGCAAATAATTTTCAACAAAGGAGCCAAAAACACACAATGAAAAAAAGAAAGCCCCTTCAATAAATGGTGCTGGGAAAATTGGAAAGTCACACACAGAAGAATGAAACTAGACTACTGTTTATCACCATGACAAGAGTTAATTCAAAATGAATCAGAGACCTAAATATAACAATAAAACAATAAAGTACATAGAAGAAAACATAGATACAAAAATTACGGTCCTTGGTCATAAAGAACATTTTATGAACGTGACCCCAAAGGCAAGGGAACTAGAAGCAAAAATAAGTGAATGGGACTATAATAAACTATTTATAAAAAGTTTCTACACAGCAAAAGAAATCAACAAAATAAAAAGGCAAATGGCAGAATGGGAGATGCAAACAACAATTCCAACAAAGGGTTATTATCAAAAATAAAGAACTCCTACAACTCAACACCAAAGAAACAAACAATCCAATTAAAAAATGGGCAGAGGACTTGAACAGATACTTCTCCCAAGAAAACAAGGAAACAGCCAACAGATTATGAAAGGACGTTCAATTTCACTGGCTATCAGAGAAATGCAAATCAAAAAAACCACAATGAGCTACCACCTGACACCTGTTAGAATGTCCGTAACCAACGAGTAGTAAGTAGTGTCGGGGGTTTGTGGGGAAAATGGAGCCCTCATTCAGTGCTGGTGGGAATGTAAATGGGTTCAGTCACTATGGAAAACAGGCTGGTGGTTCCTTAAAAAATTAAGAATAGAGTTACCATATGACCCAGCAGTCCCTCTTCTGGGGATCTACCTGAAAAACTTGAAAGCATGTATTTGCAAAGATATATGCGCCCCTATGTTCACTGTGACATTATTCATGGTGGACAAGACATGGAGCCAACCAGAGTGACCTTCGACAGAGGACTGGATAGAGACAACATGGCACATATATACCACGGAACACCACTCAGTCACAAGGAAACATGAAATAATCCCATCTGTGATGACATGGGTGGACCTTGGGAATATCATGCTAAGCAAAAGAAGTCAGACAAAAGAAGTTCAGAACCGTATGATTCCACTCACATGTGGGATATCAAACTGAACCTCGTGGACACAGATAACAGTGTGATGGCTACAAGAAGGAAGAGGGCGGGAGGTGGCGGGGGTAGAAGGGACCTAATATATGGTATCGGAAAATGGGTTGACTTTGGGTGGCAGACACACGGTACTTAATATACAGATCACGTATCACAGAGATGTACACTTGAAACCTATGTAATCCTATTAACCAATGTCACTCCAAGAAATGTAACAAAAAATAAAAATATAAATAAATAAATAAAGTAAGTGTTAAGAAAATAAAAAGACACGCTGCAGACTGGGAGAAATTATTTGACAAATACACACCTGACAAACTTATACCCCAAATATACAATTAATCCTTAAGTTAATAAGACAACTATTTTTAAACAATAAACAGAGAAGATCTGAACACGAGCAGCCCAAAAGATGATACAGGATGTCTCGTGAACACAGGAGAAAAGGCTTACCGCCCTCAGTCACGAGGCAGTACGCAACTGAAACCACAGGGGGCGCCGCTGCGTCGGCCCTGAGACGACTCAGGTTAGAAGGGTGGACAATGACCGGGAGGCACAGCTGCCAGGAGCCTCAGGCCCTGCTGATGGAGATGAGGAGTGTCTCACTGTGGGAAGCAGCCTGCCTTTCTTGGGAGAGGAAACGGACACCAAAACGCCAGCAAGCTCGCTCCTGTGCACTCGCTGGGAGAGGGAGGTGCGTCCACGGGGCTATTTTCGAATGCCCACTGAGGGGGTATTAACAACAACCAAAACCTGTGAGCTCAGATGCCTGTCAAGTGGTCCGTGGGCGAATAAGCCGGGCGGGGAGACCCATAAGTGTAACATCACGAAGGACGAAAAGGAAGCGAACACACGGCCGATGAACTGCACCACAGATGATTTAAAAAGCCTACGGCAAATGAGAGACGCCTGACAAAAAGACCGCATAATGTGTGGTTTCAATTATATGAAATTCTAGAAAAGGCAACGTTAAACAACCACAAAATAAATATGAGGCTGGGGAGAGGGGGCTGGCTTCAAATACAAACAAGGGAATCCGGGAGAACAAAAGAACTGTTCTAAATCACAACTGCCATGGTGGTTACCAGACTACTCAAAATTCATCAAACTATACTTTTTAAATTAGTGAATTTTATTGTACATAAATTATACTTTACTAGATGAAAATAAACATGTGTTTTAAACTTACCGCAGCACTACAACCGGGAAAATTGAAAAAAGTATCAGGACCATGTCTTTGTGGCATCTGATTAAGGACTGATAATAATTTTACTGCATGTCTTGGCTGAGGAAACAAGAAAAAGAAATGGCATTGGTACAGGTTCAGCAAAAATACGTAACATATCCCATTAGCCACTGAACTACCTTTCTAACTAGAGAAAAAATTAATTTTAAATGATTTACATAACTCTTTAGGAGGAACAATTTCCATTACCAATTCAAGTTTATAGCTCCCCAGAGACGGACTGTTGAACATTAAGTATTAACGCCCCGAGACGTGACCCCGCGTCCCGTGCCCACAGCTTACCCAGACTCCGCTCTCTCCCCGAAGCATGCTGAACAGAAGCTTCAGCTCCTTGACAGTGATGCTGTAGCTGGCAAGAACCCCCAACATATCAACTAGAAGATCTTCAAAGGAAAATAAAGTTATTCTGAACTCTAGTCATAACCTGCCATCTGTCAAGATAATAGACTTTTTAAAAGAATGGAAGTTATCAAGTGTAATTTCAACATATATATAAAATATATAGCTAAACATCCTCATGAATAGTTATCTCAATTAATTTTTAAGTCATCAGAAAACAATGATAAGTTTTAGAATTTTTCTGCATGTTATAACATTCCAATTAAGTTTTCTTAGCAAATAAACTAGATTTTTATAAATTCTCAGAATACACACACACACACACACACACACACACACACACAATAATGCTGTATTCAGGGAAAGGTAGGCAAAAATATGCAAACGTACAATGACTTAACATTTTAAGTTAGTTATTTTAAATGAAAACATGACAGCCCACCGTATTTTCTTTTACAGAACGTTTTCAAAGTCCTCCCTGCTCATGAACAACCATTCTGAGCACGTGCCCCTTGCCCGGCATGTGTTAGCTCCACACCCCCTCCTAGGAAGCCTGCGAGGCAAGCGCTGCGGACGGGGAGGCACAGGTCGCCTCCCCTGCCCCCAGCAAGCACCCCCGACTCAGCCAGGAGTGCACCCAGGTGGCACGGCTCCGGGGACCTCACTCTCACCCCGCAGCCCCTAAATGGAGCACTGTGCAAACAAGTTACTAGTGATGTCCATTCAGTTCATGTGTGTGTGCACATGTAAGAGACCAAATAATAAAAGTGTGTGCATTTAATCCTTTGTCCCAGAGTACGTTCCCATCTCTACACATTGGGAATCATACTCCATCAATTGTTTTTTTGCAAGAAATTAAACATCTAAATATTTTTATTTCCTTGATTTCTAAAACACTTCCTAAGGATTAAAGATACTACACAAGTTATTACAGTCAATATACATAAGACACTCTAAAAAAATTAACCAATTAAATAAATAAAAAAGATCAGATAAGAGTAAGTTGAAATAATTATTGATATATATTATTCAATATCATATACTAATAGGTGGAATTTGAGACTTGAAAAATACTTATCATGTATTTCAAAATAGAAATATAATTGGTTATTTTCATCAATAAACAAACGAATAATCCTCAATGTCACAGTAAGTAAGCAATCTTTATGATAAAATTGTGACCGTGGATATGCCATTTTTGATAGAGATCTTCTAATGAAATAAAATGTTTCTTCATTCAAGTAACAAAAATGTTCATAGTCACTACATATTAATCAGAAGATATATTTCTAAGAAAGAGTTCTGGATATAAATCAAGATCTCAAAACCCTCCATTAATATAAAGCAGCTATCATCCATCAGCTTTGATGGCACTCTTCAGATATCTCTTAGAGATTCACTCAACTATAAATACTTATTTGAAATACGTAATTTCTATTTCCCAACCTTAAGGTCATCTTCGATGTATCTGCATTTAATTACATGATTATTAAAATTTCTCATTTACTGTACATATAACATAACCAAGCAGCTCAGTTTAATTTTACAATGGGTCTTCTCTGTACAAGATTTTTAAAGAAGAAAAAACATACTAAAACTATGAAATTTTCTCATCAGTTTACTCCATCTTCTAGTGATACCTTCACATTATTAAATATTCAGAAGAAAACTTAGTAGTATTTTGGTGATTTCTGGTGCTTCATTAGTACATTATCCAAATTTTAATTTCTCTACTGAAAAGTAAAGTAGAGGTTTTTTCCTGAAACTTATTCAATGCTTAAAACGATAAAAAGTGAAAGTTTTGCGTTACCAGTATTATTGCTGACAACAAGGACACAAGAGCCAAGCAGCTTTACGAAGAGGAGCTGCGGAGACGGGCGCTTCCGCAGCGCCTCACACTTACTGTCCCCGTCCCCGTGCTCACCAGGGACGTAGCGCTAACTGCTACGTGTGTAACTGTGGCTCGTTTTGCAAAATGCACTCTAGAAAAGTGGTAGCCACTTTATTATTTATGTAAATAAATAAGGGCTTAAATCCAAAGTATTCAAAGATCGCATGACCTTCAATAAAACACATGCACATATAAGTTTATGCAAATAAATCCCTATTAAATAATGCTAGAATTTGCAGACAGAGCGCATCTACATTAAGAAGATATTTTGTCTGAGTCTAATTTCTCCTTAAGTCAACCATTAGTAACCAACATAGAGAACACTACATCATCCTAAATAGATAGATGCCACTTTGAAGGCCATTAGAAATGGTTTTAATATACTCTTTAAAAGAAAAATTTTTACAAATTATTTGAATTTAAAAAGTATTCATCTTTAAGCTATTCTTCATTTCATTCATTCTGGATTAATGTTTTTGTTCTACTAATATTAATTAAAGCATAAATCAAAACATCACAGTGAATTCTCTAGGGTTTGAACTACTTCTCAGAATCAGATAAAATATTGTAAGGAGTCATGTTATCACATGTAGAATTAAGAAAACCCTTTCATGTCAGAAGAAACTTATGCTACACTCGTGGCTTAAGAGAATCAGCATTTCAAACTACAAGCTTAGTTTCTGGGAATGACTGCTGCTCTGGGACCATGTTTCAAACCATTTCTCCTTCAGCGCGTCTAACTACAGAAGGGAATGAACATGCAGGGAGGTGAAGAATCACTGACTTCAAAGTTATTTGAAATAACATATAACAAGCACAATAATTAATATTTTCTTGAAATTTCATGCAAATTCAATATTCTGTTCCACAATGTTTATTTTTCATACAAATGTTTCTCCAAACATTATCAAGTAAAATGGATACTTCTAAAAAATAAAAATAAAACAAGCTTATTCTAAGACTTCTGGTTTCCCCATCATAGCTCCACGTACGCCAAGCTGAAAAGCGCAGAGCTCCAAGAATTCGATCAAGGTCCCATTATACAGAAATATAATATGTATTGTATTTTTAATTATGTAAAAGTTTAATTAAATACTACACAGAAAATACTGTTTCCATTTCCGGTAGATTTCATAGTACTTACTTCATTTATTCATTATTAAGATTTCCTAAAACCTTTTGGAAAAGCAAAATTAGTAATTATGTTTGTCTAGTACAGAAGAAGTCATCCTCCATTTGCCAGGTTTCCCCTTAATATATAAGGCAACTTTTTCCCTATATTTCTATTTATCTACTTTAAATCAAGGTAGCTTCAACAGTGGTACCTCGGTACTCATCATTAATTCGTTTCAAAACTCGTGACGAGTACCGAAACAGACGAGTACCGAACGATTAAGTGTTTTCTCTTGCCAGGTGGTGTGGTGGCTCATACGAGTTCCAGCAAGTGCAACGAGTCCCAGTCAAGCGCCAAGGGCTGAAACTGTTTTCCTCGTCAAATGCGACAAGTTTGGGGTTTGACGAGTTCGGAGGCCGACGAGCACCGAGGTACCGCTGTATTACCCATCGACCATTAGGAGCACGTTAGTTCCTACCAGCGCCCACAGCGCCCCGTCGGAAGGCCGCCTACCTGCGATCATGTCGTCCACCGCGCTCATCTTCAGCAGCACCTGCTCGATGAGCCCGACCTCCGTGCTGGTCTGTAAGTTGCGAACGCTCTTGCGTAGGATGGCGGTGAACATGCTCCAGACCTCGGCCTGGCAGGTGACGTCGCAGTGCTCCAGGAGCTCCGTCATGCATGTGATGCTCTCGGCATCCTGGATGATGAAGTTCATCTCCAGGTCAAACTCTCCACCCACCAGCTGGAAGTGAGCGGACAGACACGGTAGGAACGATAAGGTGGCGTCCTCTATGGCGACATCGTAACACCAAACATGCGATTTGCAGGAGCGCGCAACTGCTTTAAAAAGCTTCAGGTCTTTAAAACCACTTCTGATACAAATTAGTAGGCTACAGATAGGTGAACACAATTTGCAAAGGGAAGTCTACATTTTTTTAAGGGAAAAAGGCGGTTTCAAATCTAGAACAACGGACTGAAATAGATTATATGACTTGTCGGGGAGGGAGAGCGGGATTCAGGAAATTCCTATAAAAAAGAGGTCTGGCTCTTCAAAGCCATAGTCACTAGGAGATGAAATGCAAGTATAAATTTTGAGATATTAAATGTAAATGTTGAAATGATAGAATCAATGTTAAAAATAAGTTTAAAAGAAAAATACCTAATATATTGTCATACTTTAAAAACTATGTGAACTGGTAAATAAAGTTGATTACAGCATCATATTTGACTTGTAGCCAAATGAGTCAAAAGTATTGCTGAACCTCTCAAATATACCTAGAATAAAAGATACACTGTAACAACACTCTTATTCTCTATTGACCAATCACACATAAATTATTATACTCAGTAACAAGTGCCATTCTTTTTTTAACTGCTGTTCTTAAGTGGCCCCAATTTCCCATGTTGCTCTCCTCTGCTCCCACAGTCAGTCCCCACCCTGTCGTTCATGTCCATGGGTCATTTACACTTGTTCTTTAACTAGTCCCTTCCCCTTCTTTAATTCCCCATTCTTAAAGAACAACACTGACATAGTGGATATCTTTTTGGTCAAGAGAATGAGAAATTTAGGAGAAAAAACAGTAGCCATATGCAAAATGCCTAAGTTTTGAAGTTATGCATTCATTCACTCAACAAATAATTATTAAAGATTAGGACTTACTGTTCTAGGAAGTAGGGACATTTCCATGGACAAGAAAAAGCCCATGCACTAATACCGCTAAATTCCAAGAATAAAGATGTACATATGTATATAGTATGTCTACTCTACCTTATTCTGAAAAGGCTTCACTTGGCTTACAAATTACATAAAGAATAAAAGGAGACAAAAAGTGCGCATAGTTGACAAAGAGGAAGCAAAGGAAAAATAAGATTAGGGACAAATAGGGACTAGAAATTAAATTCAAAAAGAAGAATTAATTTTCCATCAATGAAGGGTACTCAATATGGATGAATGGCCATATGGTGTGATGAATGGCCATAAATGGGATAATAGTAATAATACCACTGCTGAACCTTACATGCCATTTAGTACTATTTTAAGTGCTTCAACTATTTTAAATAATTCCTCATTACAACTTATGATAAAGAAGCTGGACTTTCTTCATGTTACAGGTAGGTAAATCATACGCACAGAGACTTCAATTAACTTGTAAAAAGTCACAAAGCTTGTAGGTAGAAGAGCCAAAATCAAAACCCAATAATCTGTCTTCACATTAAGTCCATACAAGCAATAAAATCTCATTTAAGAATTAAAGTCTTCTAAAATTTAAAAACAAAATATCCTCAAATTTTAATATTATATACTCTGTATACATTTTTCTCTGTAATAGCTCCAAAATTCAACTTTATAAGAAACTAGGCCTTATGTTAACTTCTGACCTTTCAATGACCTAGGTATTCTCCCTGGTTAATGGCTAGTTCTACTTCTATGTAAACAACTTCAACTCTCTTACTACTTCTGGCTTATTAATGATAACTACAAGAGCGGCCGAGTACGGCTAGACACTCAGCCCTTCTGGATTTCCACTTCAGCTACATCAGTCACCTGCAGTGACCACTGCTTCTCTAAGTCCCAGTTACTTTATCAACAGCTCAGGAAGAAAAGTCCCGAGGGGACAGGACAAGGAAACTGGGTTATTGTGCACTTAGGAACACGGGTGGGCACACAGTCAGTATTTGGCTGAGGGCGGCCTCATAGATCTATGAAAAACAACTCTGCATCTTTTTGCCGTGCAGTAGTCTTACCAAAGAACCACTCCCTCGCTCACTGTTACACGCTCGGTGGATTTGGGTCACAACTATGAACCTTGTAGAGCAGGGTTACGGACCAATCACACAGAGAAATACACAGGTTTGAAAAACCATGATGTGGACGCTTACTAATTGAAGTAATAGAAGCAGATACCAAGATTTAAGCCTATGAGTCTCTGAATAAATTTGTATAACAATTAGTATATAGAAAAGTGGAAGAATAATGAAGAATATTTTAGACTAATTTCCTAAATGAGTTCTAAGGCTTTAGTGGTATCTGGTATAACCAGGAACCATTATGAAATGTGTAAACAACAAGAGATGGGCTTTTTTTCAGAACAAAAAAAAGTATACTTTCAAAGGAATTAACAATTAATATGTGTAATTCTAACAATCATGCTGTTATGTGAAGCCTAAGGTTCCATCTTTCAGTTAAAAAGAACAACGACCCTTTAAGTATATTATTTAATTATAAAAGAGTTCAGTTATAGCTCTGATTTCACTGCCAGAAGCAGTAAAAATATTCATTGTGGATAATGTACAGTGGACTAACATTTTCTGATAGCCTTTTAAACCTGTATTATAACTTCTAATACATACTCTTAATGTGGCTAATGCTTCTGAAATTCTCATTCCAAGATCAGGAAAATATGTATTCCCCACTTTTAATAAGGGGTTCAATACTTATCAATTAAAGCATATAAAAAAAGCAAAACAACTGGCCTCTACCATGTAAACAAGTCTCTCACAATCCTATGAGGAGAAGGCAGAACTGTCCTCCTAGAAAGAAACGACGGATAGATGAGGGTAAGCAACATGACCGAGGGAGGTCACATACGCAAGCGGCAGATCCAAGATTCTGCCCTAGACGAGGCTTTAATTCTATCCAACACGTAACATAAAACAAGGTGGTCACACAATCAAAACTGGAAATAGTTGAGAGGCTTGTCCAAGTAATATTTTCCTATTTTCTTCTTAAAAGGTCTTCAAGGATGGATTGTCAACATCCTTACTTCCTGGAACATTCATATGCCTTTTTCACTCTTAACCTTCAAAACGCTTTTCCCTTCACCTGAAATGTATTTCTCCAATTGAAAGGTACCTGTTTTCTTTTCTCATACCTTCGTTAAATAATAGATGGCTGGTATAAACCCCTTTTACATGATTGAAGTTAACACAGGCAACCCTTTAAATTATTTCAGATAAGTCATCAAACTTCACTCAACCTTTTTTTCATTAACTTTTAACTATGTGACCTTTTACTGGTTGCTGCTTATCTTTTCTGAAGAACCATTATCAAAATTGGGCTCAAACACCTAAAGAAATCCAGTATTTTAGAAGAGCGCAGAAACACTTACGTCTTACACACGACATGGCTGCACCAGACTGGGTGAAAGTGAGGCGTGTGCATTACCTACTGCGGCTCAGCTCAGTGGGTGCCCTGTAGCCTGGCAGCCACCGCCTACCTTGCCATAACCAGGGATCACCCCCAGACAATGAGGTGACACGTCTCTGACGGCAGTTGCCACAGGTCTTGGTGGTTTAGTTCTGAATGATGGGCCTAAAGCATTGCTTACAAAAACCATTGAGTGTGAGAAAAGCTTTCTAACCAGTGACCTAAGATTTCATTTTATGAAGCTAAACAAAGAACAAAGCAGAAGAAATGAAATTAAAAACAGAAAGCCATAAAATAAAAACAGAAAGACAACACAGCTGAGTTTGTTTCTTTGAAATGACTGATAAACCACTAACTCAGCTAAATGAAAGGATAAACCACTAAACTAAATGAAAGAGAGAAAAGTATAAATTAATATGTGGAATGGATTATCACCGTGAATCCTACAGGCATTAAAAGTATATTACAGAAATGTTTATGAACAATGTTATGCCAACAAATTCAATTACTTAGATAAAACTGACAAACCCCTGCAAAACACAATTTTCCAAATGGACACAGATAAGTGAAAATCTAAATAGCCTATATTTATTAAAAAGTTAAATCCATTATCAAAAAACCTTCCAACAAAGAAAAGTGCAGACCCAGATGTTTTTGTCAGTGAATTCTGTGACTCGTTCGTAAAACAGTAAGGAACACTTCCAAACCTATTTTTACAATAACCCTAATCATAAAACCTGACATGGATGACACAAGAAAATGAAATTATAAACCAAAATCTCTTAGGAATATAGACACAGAAATCCTTAAAAATTGTAACCAAACCAAATCTAGCAACGTGTATGATGCAGAACACATCGCGGATTCCCCCAGGAGTGCACGCTGCTGTTCTGACGCTCAAAACCCAATGCCGCGCTGCCGGGAGGAGCGTAACACAGCACAGTCACTCTGGAGGACAACTGAGCAGTTCCTTAGAAGCTGAACACAGATTTGCCGTATGACCAAGAATTCTACTCCTAGGTATCTATAAAAATGTATGTTCACACAAACTTATATGCAGATGTTCATAAAAGCATTATTAGCCACAATGATGAGGTAAAAATCATCAAAATGTGGTCTATCCACACAATGGAAAGCTCTTTGGCAATAAACGGGGACATGAGTGAGCCTCGAACACATTATGCAAAATGACAGAAGTCAGACCTAAAAGACCCTCCGGGGCGTGACTCCGTTTCCGTAAAACACCCCGCGAAGGCGCAGCCAGAGGGCGCACTTCAGGGACGGCTGCGGCTGCAGACGCGCGGGGCAGGGGCCCCGGGTGGCTGCGACCCGGGGGTGGGGAGGGCGGGAAACGTCCCCAAGGGTCGATGACTCTCGCCGTTGAGAGACGACGTAAAAATACAAAAACTCTTTAGCGCGTAGGCTAAAAACAGGTGAATTTCATGGTATGTAAATAGCTGAATAAACTTTTAAAAACGTAATTATTATCAAATTAAGTACTTCAATCAATATAAAAATATCATTTGACAAAATTCACCCATGTGATAAAAAAAAAAACAAAAACAACTTTTCAGCAAACTAGCAATGGAAGGAAC